TACAAACCAAAAGACAGATATTTTTATCCATATTGTATTGCTCGGAAGACTTAGGATCAGAGAAGTTGGATAACATTCCCAAGGACATACAGTTGCCAGCCTGGGAGCAGGAATAAAAACCAACACTATTACCATCATTGGCCATCTGAATTTATTTCTGCTATGTCCACAAAACAGCAGATTATATTTAGCATATATTTTTGAATTCTATCTTTTACTATTTTCCCTTCCTCCTCACTATTTATCTTCCCAAAACACACTCTCCCATTCACCTCTCTCCGAGTCTCTCTCTTGTGTGCACATAATACATAAACAAGCTGGTGGCAGCAGCCGAAGGACAAATCTAGCATTGGGAAACCAGAGCTCCAGGCTTAACTTCACCTGTCACTTCCCCCAGGTCACTAATCTCAGCTTCTTCTCCGATAAACAGATATGTTTCTAAATCTACCGCCATACCACCCTGAATGCACCTGATCTCATCTGATCTTGTAAGCTAAGCAGGTCCTGGGTAGTACTTAGACGAGAGTCTCTGTCTAAGTGCTTATAATCAAGTACTTTTATACTTTAATATCTCTATTATCCTGAGTAAAGGGGAGAATTGATATCATCTATTACTCAGGTGTCTTAATTCTTCCAGAAATTTCAAAGGCTCATGTGGCAAATGATCCCTTTATATATGCCTGATGCGACTTACAAATTAAATGTAATTTAATTACTGTATCTTTATTTGAGAAGCAAAAGTGAGTAAAAATGTATCATTTTTACTATTTTACTCAACTGAGCTCACTTTGCCCATAAAAACTTAAGAATCTGAAGATATGCTGTTAAGTATAAATACTAGATTTCAGTCTTAGTTTATATGTAAGAATCTAATTACTATCATGTTGAAATGATAATATTTTGGGTAAATTGGCTTAAACACATTATATAAATTGCATCTATTATTTTTTTAAAAAATTTTGTTGTAAACACTGGAATATCAAAAATTAAATATATGGGTCACAATGTATTTCTAGTGGGCAGGGCTGTGATAAATCACTTTTTACCAATGTAACATGACCAAACTGGGTTTTCAGGTGATTGTGAAGTCCAACTGCTGTTGACAGCTGCCAGAAGTTATAGAAAAGTCTTTTTTCACAGCAAGTCCTTTGTGATTTATTCTCAACTATAAGGATATTAGTTTTGCCAATTTTGCCATTTCTCTCCATCTTAAATGAAAAACATGGCAGATCATCATTTCTTAACACTTTACAAGTCTCAAATATTGCTGAGGAGTTGCTATATCCAAGTCATTTTAAATGTTATCCTAAAACCTGACTTTGGCATAGAAATGACAGAAGTTATTTTGTCCACAACCCTAGGGAGCCACCTGCAGAAAGCTGGGCACCTTTCCTGTCTTTGCAGAAACATATCACTAGCACGTCACCCTACATGCAGAGGCCAGAGGCTAAAAAATCACATTCCATAATTTCCCCTGGAGCCTGGATAGTTAACTCATCTGATGCATTCACCGGAAATGTGAAAGATGGGATACTAAATTTGAAGCCATTTCTAATAGCCACATTAAGAGAATTAACATTTCATTTAAATTATCTCAAGTATTGTCACTTCTATAAATAATCAAACTAAAACTGCTAAGATATCACACAATGTTTTTATATGAGGTCCTCAAAATCTCATACTTTTTACATTTATTTGCCATCTTCATTTAGATTAACCACTTTCAAATACTTAGTTGCCACCTGTGGCTGCATGATGCAGCTCTAGGGCAAAGGCTAGCAAACTTCCCTGTGAAAAACCAGTCAGAAATATTTTAGTTGCAGGCCACAGATATATTTTATTGCTTCTATTGGCCTCTTTATTTCTCTTTTGCTTGAAAATGTAAAAGTCATTCTTAGCTCACCAGCAGTCTTAATACAAGCTATCTGCCATTTCTCTCCTGGTGTTTCTCTAACTTCTGTGCTAAACATTCCTGCTCATTTCACCAAGTGTGGAATCTGTTCTATGAAACTGAACTTGACCCGCTTGATACAGGGGAATGTTGTGATCATTCTGCAGTACAAGCAAACTGAGGTAGAGAAAATTCAAGCAACTTTCCAAGGTCAGATAGTTTGCAAGCAGAAGAAATGGCATGAGAACTCATTCCTGCTGTCCCTGAAGCTCACGCCTTTAGATACTGCATTATTAGTTCAACATTGTTATTAATGCTTTCATTACCTTGAGTAAGGAAACTTCATTAACATATTCATTTACCTTACAAATATTTATTCAATATTACAATGTCAATGTATAAATAACAGGGACACTGTCCCTGCTCTACATATAAGCTCATTCCTTTTTTTTTTTTTTTGGTACCAGGGATCAAATTCGGGTCCTTGCGCTTGCGAGGCAGGCCACCGAACCGCTAAGCTAAATCCCCGGCTAAGCTCATTTCTTAAAACGCTTAACATTTTTATTTATCAATTTTTAATTTATGAGATACAAAATGAAGTGAAAATTCACAATCATTTGCTCCCTTCGATCAATATAGATGAAAGTCAGAAAGTGCTGTCTTGATCCCGTTAACTCCAAGTTGACAGAGATGCATCCTAGGTTCTTACTCTTTTTTTCTCTAATTCAAAATATTTATCATCTTTGGACATGATAAGGAAATACTAAAACAGGTACAGGAGCAAGCATTTACAGTCTACATTTAAAATAATATAAAAAGAGTAGTCAGTACTTAGGTTATTATGTTAATATATTTGCTTTTAGCATATTTATTTAATTGCATGAATGTTCACTCTATAAAACATTTTATGTGCCATTTTTAGCAGTACTAAAACTCCATGCCTTTTCTATTATGCTACAAGTAGATATTTATCATAAACCTTTTAAAAATTTAATAAAAATCTTATAATTTCAGTTGGTTCCTCAGCTCACCATAACCACCCCTTCCTGGGGCTGCAATTAAAATACAAATTGGATGATTGTGATATTTTCACTTTTTTCACTTCATCACTTCTACTGTTCTTAAATGTGCAGTTTGCTATCCACTAGATCATCTCCTTTGAAACACAGGAGAATCTTACATTCACCTATGGAACTTTCCACCATGCTTAAAACAGCATTTTTACAATAGTAAAAACCTTAGCACTGTGTATAAATAAAAGAAATCAGAAAAGCTCAGCATTTTTCTCATTCAATTTTTCTTTTTAATTCGTGTGGCAAGTGATATTTTATTATGAGTTGTAATTTCCACTATAGTAACTAAAATCACTGGCACGTTGATTCTACAGATTTTGAGAGCATATTCCAGTCTGGAGAGGTTACAGATATCTTTGGAGTGATTGAGAATTGAGAACTTCAGTTATAACTCAAGCCACATAGGGGAGTTATCAGAGTATTTCTAGAGAACCAGTCCAAAAAGCATAATCTTCTTCTGACTTGTCGATCTTTGCCCCATTTTTTTTTCCCTTGACATAGGAGGAAACACAAAATAGGACCAATACTAGGAGACAAAATATCCACTGCTTTGATGATCAGAGGAAAACTCAGGAAAGCTCCTAACCACTAAGTAGGGAGACTAACTACACTGTGAAAATCTTTCATTTTATTATTTAAATAATGACTTTGAGTTACCCAAACTGTCAAATTATTTTCATTATGAGCATAATAATTATACAGAGTAATTTGTATAACTCAACAATTAAATGTTGGAATCAATTATTGAAATCACTTTTCAGTATAGTATATTTCATATATCCATATATACATGTAAACACACAATATATACATGTATATGTTTATATATATATATATATATATATTAAATACTGAGACATATTCAACTAGCAATTTAAATTGTTTTTTATTATAACTTACTTTGCAAGATAAGTAATGTTTAAAAATTTCTCACAGACTGGTTAACCATGAACTTGTTTCTATTTTCATGTATACGCATTAAACTTAAACATTTAAGGAAATGTCTTCAGGCTTATTAGCCTGCTTAATTTTTTCTTTTTAATTACTGGTTGAAAGTGCTTACAAACATGTAAATGGTCTACTTCTCTCATATTAATAAGCAAAAGCTATTACAGCTTCCTCTTATTTGTATCTGTCAGCATAAATATCTTACAGATATTGAAAAGGGTACAGAATCAAGGGAAGAGTTTCCACTGAATTAAAATATTTTAAAATGATTTTATGTTTTATTATTAGTGTATGTTTAGAGGACACATTGATTATATTCATCTTGGGGAACTGGAACAGCACAATTGACTAAAAGAGCAGTCAGCACTGCTAAATAGGTCCCTGTTACATCCAGCCTATCAAACTCTTCATCCCTAGTAATTTTAAAGCAATTCACAAATTGATTTGCATTCCTATTCTTTTTAAATATTTTGTAAGCTGATGTTAAGTGTTCACAAATTGAAGCGGTTACCCTAACTTGGGTATAGGGCTGGAAAGCAATGTTGTGCTAGCATCAGCACTTCAGATCATTAATAATTAACAATTAAATATTAGCATTGTTAAGCTCATAGTTGACATTTGGTAGTGTGAAATAAGCTATGGTGACAACCTTTACATCAGGAGAATTGGAAACCTAAAAATCCACATCTCCCCTAATCCTATATACCCAGACTTGATTTACCAGAAATAACTGATACAGATATATATCTGTTTTAAATGACACCTTTTAACACTTAATGGTCTACTGCCTTTAGCAAATTATCTTACCTGTCTGTCCTACAATTTCCTCATCAAATTTAATGTGACAAAATTAATTTGAAGAATGAATTAAAATATGTAATCACCTAACACATACTTCACCTAAAATATACTCAGTGAAAGGTAGTTTCTGTTACACCAAAACATTGAGACAACAATGAAGAGGAAATCAGAAATTTAAAGTAAGTAAAGACATGTCCAAGAACATGGGTCACTGAGCAGTGAGTCTAATTATATAGTGGAGAAAAAATACACTCAAGGCTTCACTCACCTTCAGACATTGTGTGGTGCTTGTCCCCTCTCTCCAAGGCGTGAGGCAGGAGAACCAGTTCTGCCAGGGATGCTCCCTTGGTTAGCTTGCTTCCCTAGGATCGGCTCATATAAGCGATTCATAGAGCCCTCCTGCAATACAAAAATGTATTAGTTAAAGAGGAAGAGAAAATAATTTTCCTGAAAAATTGCCTAATTTATACATCTAACTTTATATAGTTTATATATCCCATCTAAATGACTGTATGCTACATACACAGATGAAATTTTTTATATGCTACATTTCAATAGTGAACACAGGAGTAAAGTGAGACGTTCTTATCACTTATTATATAGCAAAAATTCGAATGAGATTCTAAGTGGAGCCATGCATGAACTGAAGCACCCCTTCAAGAGACATGATGAAGATGTCAAGTTAAGAGCACTAAATAAAGGCCTCTCTGACCTACCAACAAACTGTGCTAGTCACAGGTTTTAATCACGTGTATGTCTTTAACTAGTACCACTTACTTGCATAAGAAACACAATCTGCTATACAGGAACTTCTGCAACGATAGAGCAGAAGTTTTATTCACCTTACCGAGGAACCATGAGGATACAATGAACACAATGATCTGACATAGCAAAAGTATTTCATAAGTATAGTCAAGGCATTAATATTATTATTTAGAAAATTTATATATACAAATACATTTTATTGATTTTAAAATTTTGTGGATTAATGAATCCTAAAATCCTTGAATTTGGATTTCAAAGTATTATGAATTCTACTCGGGAAGGAAGCAATTGAGTTGAATTGATCTCTCTCACCCCTTCCCTTTTTAAATAGAATTGATTTAGCTTTATCTCTGCCATTATCTATACTCAGTCTTTATTTATTTATTTTTTGGTACCGGGGATTAAACTTGGGTCTTTGTCCTTGCAAGGCAGGCGGCAGAACCACTGAGCTAAATCCCCGGCCCTACTCAGTCATAAATTAGAAGGGAGGTACACTCTTCATTCTAAATATATTAACCACTGATTCTGACAATAGTTTTCTATATAAAAATCTTCTGGATTATTTAATGATAATTTTTAAATACAGTATCACACTAGAAACATCTTTAAGATGTTTTATTAATACATAATAAGGTTTAAAACTTCATGTGACTTTAGAATTTTCTGCCAATATGTTTTTTAGTGTCTCACTTTGCATATCCACTGTTCCAAACTCTTGACAAATTCTTGAGAAAAATCATGAAGACCTGAGTTAGACATGCATGCTCTAAAACACAGAATGCAGGGAAACCTGTGGCTACAAAAACACTGCTGAATGAAGGTGAAGCATTGGACCAGTTAAGGCCCTGTCCAGAAGCAGACAGCATTGGCCAGATCTGGAGCCTGGTGAGACAGAGTACAGCAGGTGTCCACCACCCAAGGGAAACTCCATACTAAAATCTAAGGGCTACAGCAGCAATTTGTACTATGAGAAGAGGCTGGGGAAAATAGCTTGTTTGTTTGTTTGCTTTTAGTTTGGTTTGCTTTTGTTTTGTTTTATTGCTTGTTTGGGGACAGCACCTTGCTAAGTTGCTAAGTCACTAAATTGCCCATGGCGAGGCTTGAACTCGAGATCTTCCTGCCTCATCCTTTCAGACTGTGCCACCACACTTGGCAGATTCTGTGAACAGGTAGTGTGGCCCTTGCTTATACCAATATGTGGGTCAGAAAAGCAAAATCCAAAAACATAGTGAAAAAAATGAGGTATGAGACAAGCTGCAATGCTTCAGGGTCTGGATCAGGAGGACACCATGTGTCAGGAAGGAGTGATGTCTCTAGATTTTAGCCAGGGCCTCAGAGAGACTTGAGATTTGTGCCTTACAAGTAGATGGAGGAAAATGAAGAGGCCAAGAAGGAGAAAGTGAGTTAAAAAAAGAATTATCATTCAAAATTAGCCAAAGGCCAGGAAGGGATTGAGAAAGACTGCCAACAGAATTGACAATCTGGAATAAAGCCATTTCATTCCAGATAAAATTAAAATCGTAAAACAGATGGAGAAGTAATCTGAGAGAGAATGTTTATGATCTTCAGAATGCTAAATGAAAATGAAATGTTCAGTCAAAAATAAATAATTTATGATGAAACCAAAACGGACATAAATGTAACAAGAGCCAATAAATAGCAACAAAACTCAAATTATTAAAAGATATTGAAATAACATAATCATAGAAATTTATATTAAATAATCAAAATTGGTATGAACTCTAGATCTTTTCTAAGAGGGTATTAGAAAATGCTAAAGACTTCATACAGAGTGCTGAATAAAACTACACAGAAAACATGGAACATTGCAAGCAAAAATTTAATGATTATACTAAAAGACTACAACATGGCACTAATAGAAATTCCAGAAAAAGAAAATGATGAAGTTTTCTTATTGATGCATGAAAACAGCAGATCAATTTTACTTCACACAATTTTTAAATCCTAGTTAAAATGCCCCCAAAATTAAATCTAATATTGTCTGTAAAAATGAATCATGACCAGTGTTTATTTAATAAAGAGAGGTAAGGGTATTTCAAAATGTACATATATAATAAGATAGTAAAAAGACATTTCTCAATAAATCTTCTAAGGCATTTGCAAATTTTAATATTTGTGCATGACAAAATCTTAGTAAATTAAGAAAAGGTGGGATTTTCTTATCCCAATTAGGGTTATTTGTCAAAGCCCTCAGAGAGACTCCATTAGAAGTAATTGAGCATCAGAAATGAGAGTAGGGTGGCTTCGATCATAGTATTCTTACTTATCAAGGTCACACAACAGGAAAAGAAATTATAAATAGTGTAATTATTAAAGAACACAGTAGCTGGCAGACAGAAAAATCTAAATAAACCATGGACTATCAGAAAATTTTGAATTCAGCAAAATTATTTTTTCTAATATCTATATCTTTAAAAATATCTATATAAATTGCAAAAAAAAGATGTATTAACATGTATTAACAACAGTAGCCAAAATTCTTAAATCCTCAGTGAATTTCAACAAAAGATGTACAAGAATTTTATAGACCAAGTTTAAAAATATTATTAAGGTCCATAAAATTTAAATGAATAAACAAGGACTCTATGTTTTTGTGGATGAGTGCATACAAAACCACGAGGAAGTCAATTTGCCTTTAAAAATGTACAAAATTCAAATTAATTTTAATAAAAATCATCTCGAAGATTTTCACATAATTAGACAATGTGATATAAATCTTTTGAAAGTTAAAATTTGGAAGAAAGATAGGGAAAACCTTTTCTTCTGACAATTCTAACATTAGAATTATCTTAATAGTTATCTTGATAGGTATATAAAGCAAGAAGCAAAAGGTAAGGAAAAGAAATAAACTAATAAGAGACTAATAAATAAAAGTAGAGATAGCACTCAAATCACTGAAGAAATAGTTCAGGAAAAATTGATTTGTAACTTCGTGAGCTACAAAGTTGTGCTAAACTCAGTAAATGTATGACAAATGCAACAAGAAAAATCACTCTGTTTCAAATGAGTAAGCTTTTAAAAATCTTCATCACAATGTAAAATTCTAAGAAAAATTGTGGCGTCAGAGTGGCATATATAAAAAGGTATTCCTGCCACACTTTTGAAAGACCCCATTTCAAGTTTATAGAGTCAAAATAGTAGCAATCCCCTTTAATGGATTATTTATAGTAGTCAGTTCAGAATGGGTAGTTCATTAAGTTTCCACCCTTATATTTCTCTTAAAGACGCCATTACTAAAAAGATTTATAATTTTTCCCCTACTCTTAAACAAGAGAATATTTAACTCTTTCAATTTTTCTTAGTGGTAATCTTTATGTGATACTTAATATTTAAAATCACCTACTTCATTTTTAAATTCTATAATATTTCTTTCCACTTAATCACTGGTTTTCATTGTCTTTTCTTCTTTTTCTTTTTTCTTTTCTTTCTTTTTTTTTTTTTTTTTTTTTT